CTAAGCCATGGAGCCCATTCGTATACCGAAAGACTAAGGGAAAGAAAGACTTTGGCTCCATGGCGATTGAACTGTATGCATGTGATCTGAACACCATCCGGTAATAATGTGCGCTCAGATCTAAGCTATCTGGGGATAGGTAGAATGTGTATGTTCTATGTGATGAATATAACAGTATGTAATTTTATGTCTTTTACTGTCTTTTTACTGCCATGTGGTTAATGGAGCTTTGCCTCTGTCCTTGGAGATAATTGGATTACTTCCCAATTATCTCCAGGATAGAAGACTCTGTGGAACTGGTTTTGGGCAGAAAAGCCATGCTTCCTTTGGTCACAAAGGACTTCGATCTATCTTTTGAACCAATGGACCAATTTGGATGATTTTAACATATGTTTGTATTTGGAGTATGCTGATTCTGAATTTATTAAGATAATGTGATGCATACTTTCAAAGTTATGAATAATGTGGAAAAACTGTATTCCTCTGCCTGTGATAATTATATTACCCATTGTGTTCAGTAATCATATCACAGGCAGAGGGGAGGATTTTGTGTGGGAGTGTGTGTGTGCATTGTACGAATTGATTGGTTGTTCTGTAAAACCCTGTGGGCAGTACTATGTTTGTGGATTGGGAATAAAAGAGGCTGTATGTGCCAGTACATTCTGTTCTGCTTGACCTCAAAACGAAGTGTCGTCTCGTTATTGGGGGAATTGGATTGTATGCTGATTGGCAGGAGTGTAAGCTGATTGTATGCTTTTCCTGTTCAGCTGCTTACAGCATTCATATGCTTGAGAGCATTCATATGCTTCTCCGTTTCGGTGGTTGTGGTGTCTGCTGCAGTGCTTGGAGTCCTTAGGAAGCGCTAGGAGCATCCTTCATGGAGGTACCCAGTCGGGGTGCCAGGTGATCCATTACACACTGCTATATACATACATACACACACACACACATACATACTGACATACAGACACATACATACATATACATACACATACTGACATACATACGTACGTACATACATACATACATACACACACACACACATACTGACATACATACACACACACACACACACACACATACATACAAACACACATACTGACATACATACATAAATACATACTGACATACATACATACATACATACACACATACTGATATATACATACATACACACACACATACAGGCATACTGACACACACATACTGAAACAGACACACACATACAGGCATACAGACACACACTCACATACAGACACACACACAAATGCATAAGGAGATACAGACACACATGCATACTGACATACATACATATTGACATACACACATATACATACAGACATACATACTGATAAACAGACATACATACAGACACATACATACATACTGACATACATACAGACACATACATACATGCAGGCATGCATACATACATACTGGCATATATACACATTCATACTGACATACATACATACTGACATATGCACACACACATATTGACATACATACATACATACATGGCTGTATTTGTCACAAGGCAAACAAAGCCTTTGCCTGGGCACTTAGGGCAGCGTTTTTTGCCGCCCCCCTGAAAGTACCTCACTAAGTGCCCAGGCAAGTGTTTTGTTTGCCTCATGTCCGGGGGGAGGGGGGAGCAAGAGGTGGCCGGCTGGCTCATAGTGTAGACAGGCGGCGAGGGAGCGTCCCCATAGCTCTTCCTGCTCCTTCGTGTGCCCTTCTATGATGCCGGGAGCCAGAACATGACGTCACTCCGGCCCCGACGGTGCGCAAGGGAGCAGAACAGGAAGAGCTCAGTTCCCTTGCCACCTTATTAAGCATCTCCCCACCCGTCCACTCAGCCAACCGAGCCCGCAAAAGCTAGCAGCCCGGGAGTCTGTCTGGCCAGCCAGCAGCCACAGCACGGAGCCCAGCAATGGTGAGTGTATGAGAAAGTGTGTGTATGTCTGTGTCTGTCAGTGAGTATGTCTGTGTTTGTCAGTGTCGGTCAGTTAGTGTGTCTGTTTCTGTCAGTTAGTGTGTCGGTCTGTCAGTGAGTATGTCTATGCCTGTTACTGTCGGTCTGTCAGTGAGTGTGTCTATCAGTGAGTGTCTGTCAGTGTGTGTGTGTCTGTATCTTTTAGTGAGTATGTCTATGTTTGTCAGTGTGTGTCAGTGAGTATGTCAGTGTCTGTCAATTTGTCTGTCTGTCAGTGAGTATGTCTGTGTCTGTCACTGTGTCTGTCTGTGAGTATGTCTGTCAGTGAGTGTGTGTGTGTGTCTTTCAGGGAGTGTATGTCTGTCTGTCAGTGAGTGTGTGTATGTAACTGTCAATGTGTGTCTGTGAGTAAGTGAATGTGTGTGTCAAATCAGTGAGGATGTTTGTGTCAGTGTGTGT